AGTTTTAAGTGAGGTTTGAAATGTCAAATGGCCATTGAATGCAGACGTGTTTAATTTTATCGGAAAAAACCGGCAAATTTGTTAAAAAAAAGTGATTTTTACTCAACGTAATGTGTCTGATTAGATAAGAGTAATCACTGGTTTTTGTTGTAAGCCGTCCCTCATCTGAGATATTTGTAAAACGGCGTCTACAACAACTTTGATGGATAACCACATGTTGCCATTGTGTCCACTTGTACCTATTTCTGTTTTTTAAGAAGCCGAGTCCAAGGTTTGCGTCCAGTGCCAATTTCAACCTCAAATTTGCGTTGTCCTAACTAAGAAGCTGTTTCAGAACATAAGTCGCAGTTTGAGGTGTAGTTTTTTGTGTGGCAGAAATTCTAAAGTCCAATGTAAGTCCAGTTTCCAACCCCAGAAATCTTAATGTGCATTTCAGTGAAATCCAGGTAACTTTTTTGTTTGAACTTTTAACTTATATTCTGAAGAAATTTTCCAAAACACGCTCAATAATATCAAAGCGGAGTTACCGTTAACGGAAAATTAATTAACAACTTAAGATATGCAGACGACACTGTGATCATAGCAACTAGTATAGAAGATCTACAATATCTTATCGAAGCTAAGTATGAATAGTGCTGAGATGGGAATTACTATAAATGCTAAAAAAACGAAGTACATGTTAATTACAAAAAGATCACAAAATATGCATCACCTATTGACAATCAATGTTAACGTGATAGAATAAGTAGAAAATATCAGTACTTGGGAACCAGTACTATCAATGAAACCAATGATCATACTGCAGAAATAAACAGGAGAATAGAGCTTGCCAAATCCGCATTTATACGAATGAAGCCACTTCTAACGTGCAAAAATCTAAATTTGGAGGTGAGACTACGTACCATTCGCTGTTATATATTTTCAATATTATTATGTGGAGCTAAGACTTGGAACTTTAAATAAATGCTATCTAAAAAGAATCGAGGCTTTCGAACTCTGGTTATACTGCAGAGTATTAAAAATATCATGAACTGATAGAATTACAAATAAAGAAGTACTGGAGAGGGTTGGTAAAGAAACAGAACTAATCACCACTATACAAACCAGAAAACTAGAATACCTAGGACACCTGATGAGGGGACCAAAATATAAAATTTTGAGACTCATAATACGGGGAAAGATTCAAGGAAGAAGATCTGTTGGCCGAAGGCAGAACTCATGGTTGAAGAATCTACGTGATTGGTGTCAAAGCAGAAAGATTGATTTGTTTAGAGCAGCAAGTTCAAAAATAAAAATAGCTATTATGATTGCCAAGGTTCTCCCACATTGGGCATAATCCATGTCGGCGCTGAATTTCTCTCCTCTGACTTGCGAACGACGTACTTCATGTGCTCACCTAAGGTTCTCCTCTTATCTAGAACTATCCCCAAGTACTTCACTTTTTTGACAGGACAGATCCTTTCTCCCCCCAGTGCAAAAACTATATGGTCTCGGACCCTTGAGGATCTTCAGTCTTCTTGGCCGCCATTATGGGACCCCTTCTTCGCATCCACGTATCCAGTTTGACCAGAAAGCAATGGCTCCAGAACGGAACCCTGCGACACTCCCGCCATGGTCCTCATAGATTTTTCCCGCGCAATATTTATTTAATCACGTAATTACTGACTAAATTCTACAGATACTGATATATCCCAAGTCGTCCAGTAGTCTGACGATAATTTTCCTTAAAAACGGTTCTCATATCGAGAAAGAAAACCACCATCCACCTGCTCCTATATATGGACATCTCCCTCTTGATTCTGCTTATGGCGTCTACCGCAGATTTTCTCTTCCTGAACTCATACTGGCGGTCGGATATGATACGATACATTTCTCTATTATCTTCCTATCCAGCCTTGTCTTCACATTAATCTCCAGCATATAGGCCAGCATATAGGTCTGAACGGCCCAGGCTCCTCTAATTTCTTTCCCGGTTTCGGGATAAGTATGAGATTTCCTGTTTTCAGATCTCTTGCCTTCTTAGTAGGTTGTTCAAATATCCTGTACCTATTGTACTTTTTCGTCGATGATGATTTTTATTATCTCGGGTGCTAGCTCCAGGCGATTTTCCTGCTTTGAGCATTTTGCCAGATTTCGTTATTTCTTCCCTCGTAAATTCAGTCACGGTTGTCTCCACTTGGAGTGGCGTAAAGCTTACTTCCTCCCTCTGTGGAAAAATCGCCTTGGCCAGTTCTTCCCTTCGAATCTCCTCGATATTATAGAAGCCTCCGATCCCTTTAAAATTCTTGACAAGGCGACAAGACATTCGGTAGGCGTCTCCCCAGATATTCCTTTCAAGATTTTCACAAAATTCTTTCCAACGACTTGTTTTTTCACCATTTATTGCTCGCACCAGCTCTTTCTTCATGGCTTTTAGTCTTTTTATCTCCTCTTCTACACCTTTCTCTTTTTGGACGTGGCTCTCGATCCTTTGAATTTCCTATTTGAGTTTTGTGTTGTCAAGATATTGCAATCTGCCTCCCTCCCTTGGTTTTGTTACGTTTCTTGTCATTTTAAACAAAATATACTTGTGGTGAGTGAATATTTCTCCATCCAGGACGTCTCTCTCTGCCACCTTTCTACTTATCTGTACCATTACCATTGGACGTCGATATGTGTTCTCTCTTAACGAAGGTTCTCTTACCGTTGTTGAGTACTACAAAGTTTAAGGCCTGTATGATCTCATTCCACATCTCTCCCCTTTCTGTCTGTCCTGTGGTCCTCGCTGCAGATTCCGCAATGTGACGTATTGTTGCACTCCCTAGCGCTGTGCCCTTCCTCCCAGCAGTTGAGACATTTGTCTCTTAAAGTTCTTTCTTTGCATTTTTTCCTGGTATGCCTGAAGTGTAGACACCTATATCTGGGTGTCATTACCTTACAGTTCACTAATCCTATCAGGATCTTTCTCTGTCGCACCAGTGTGTCAGCCGCTGTTGCAAACCTTCCCTATTTCCTACTTCACATTTCAATTAATCCTCTTCCCTCTCTTGATCCCACAGAGCTCGCCAGCGCCCTCATGACTTCCCTCTTCCAATGTTTGGTCAACGTCGTATATTGGCACCAGCCTTTACTGAAATTTTGAGGTGACATCCAGATCCGTTTTCGACGTCGACTTTGCGTCGACAGTTCCGCGATTTTGTCCCTGGGTCTATCAGCTCAAGACGTAGGTGTCCTTGTGCTTATCTTTTTTATGTCGAACCCGCTGTTTTTGACGTTCACTTTTTCTCTGACCTCTTGTACCATGTCTTCTTACAACTTCTCACCCCCCTTTGATGGTAATATTTCCTGTTTCTGTCCTGAAATTTGGAACTGCCAGTGTAATTTCCACTTCCGTATTCTGCAGGCTGTATTCCAGTGCCTTTCTTAGTTCCACCCACGCTGTGCTCTCTCCTACCACACAGTAGGGATGTTGCTCCCTCTTCCCTTGTTCCCTACCTCCTTTTTGTCCTCTACTAATTGCATTGCATTATCTAAGAGGTAAACCAATTTAAAAAATAGTTGTTTAATCCCTGAATTGTTCTGTGACTAGTTGTTCCAGTCCTGTGTGCCCATTCTGAGATCTAGTTGTCTGCTAGTTCACTTTTCCCTCTTTTATCCAGCGTACTTATCACTTTTTTGTTTCCTGCTGGGACAATTTTTCTTCTCTCTTATTTTTTTCTTATTCTTTTTTTTTCTCCTTTCCGTATTCTTTTCTATATCTTCTATTTCTGCTTGTATACTCATGTCACTGATCTCAATCCTTTCCATTATGGGGATCTTCTGTTTTTTCTTTGAAGTGCCTTTGAAATATTGAGTAGGGCGGTTAAAGACTGGTTACAGACTGGATTTCAACTTTGGTTTTTACGTGCTCCTTTGTCATGTTGTGGAGTGCCTTCGATTTCTTTAGGATCTCTTCCACCACGTATCTTATTGCGCCTCAATTTTCGCTTTCTGCCGTCTCTTCTACGGCTTTAGCCCTGAATCGTCCATATTCTTTCTCTTTTCCTCCTCGGTTTCTGAATTTTGCTTATTCTCCCATTCTCTCCTTCCCCATCAGTCCTCGTATGTGATCTGCCTATGGATTTTCTCCTTCCCAATATCTCAGATTTTCCCTAGTTCTTAAGGCTGTTTCGACTCTGTGTCCTCGTACAGGTCGTCATCGTTTTCTTTTGTTTTGTTTTATTAAAGCTTGTCGGTTTCGCATCCATATCTATTCCCACGCGTCGGGAAGAATAAAGGTCCAGGACAGTGCTCCCTTATCCAGCTAAGCCATTTATCACCCTGGCAGGTTGCCAGGTTTCCGAGGGCACCTTTCGCGCAGTCATTCATCCCCTGGTCTGACGGTATCTCACGAGCCGGGGTTGCGTATTTTTTATCCAGGTATACTCTTCTTGATTTGCCACGGTTTTCTCCGGTAGCAGCGACAGCAACGCTCGTATACCGCCTGGTATTCCTCAGTGTAGCTGCTCACACTACACTGTGGGAAGATAGAAAGGATAAAGGATAGATAAGGAGTATCTGATGCTTTCTGATTGTACTCGGGGTTTAGGTCAGATGTATCTTTGGATATCTTTGTCGTTAACTATTTGGTGACTGTGAATGTTGCGCCTTTTAGCGTCCGGCAGCGGAGACCGGCGCCCACCCGGTGCACCGATGCCGGACGATATTTGGACTGGTCTATGGGACATACTAAGAAATCCAGCTATTACTTAGTTTCAAAGAAGACCTCATTCAAAAGAATAATTAGTTAAGTACTTGAAGGAAATTTAATTAAAGTATAATTTTAAACAAAAGGTATTTTGCAACATTTAAAACTGAGAAATTACAATTTCGTTATTACAATAATAATTATACATATAGGAATAAACTTTGGAATGTCAACCTGGGCCATAATTTTACTTTAATTATTATATTACTTTGTTTCTGCAAAACTTTTTGGATTTTCCGTCCAGTAAAATGTTTATAGTTGATTTTTATTTTAGGTTTTTCTCATGACAAAGATAGAATGAAAATCATGGAAATGTTCCATTCATCTCATAAAGGGAAAGATAGAGGTCAACACGCTAAAGAAAAAATATTAAATATTAATATGACAGTTGAAAACAAAATTGGACAAAGACCTAACAAGTGTGAAACTTGTTTAAAGCAGTTTACTACAACAATTCAGTTAAAAACACATTTGAGAACGCACACTGGAGAAAAACCTCACAAGTGTGAAATTTGTTTTAAGCAGTTTATTGATAAAAGTAGGTTAAAAATACATTTGAGGATGCACACTGAAGAAAAACCTCACAAGTGTGAAATTTGTTTTAAGCAGTTTATTGATAAAAGTAGGTTAAAAATACATTTGAGGATGCACACTGAAGAAAAACATCACAAGTGTGAAATTTGTTTTAAGCAGTTTACTGATCAAAGTAATTTAAAAAAACATTTGAGAACGCATACTGGAGAAAAACCTCACACGTGTGAAACTTGTTTAAAGCAGTTTAGTGATCAAAGTAATTTAAAAACACATTTGAGAACACATACCGGAGAAAAACCTCACAAGTGTGAAATTTGTTTTAAGAAATTTACTAGATCAGGAAGTTTGAAAAAGCATTTGAAACTGCACTCTGGAGAAATGCCTCACAAGTGCGAACTGTGTTTTAAGCAATTTAATCAAGTAACTAATTTGAAAGCACATTTGAAAGTGCACACTGGGGAAAAGCCTTACAAGTGCGAAATTTGTTTTAAGCAATTTATTCAACTAAGTAATTTGAAAACACATTTGAGAGTACACACTGGAGAAAAACCTCACACGTGTGAAATTTGTTTTAAGCAGTTTACTACAAAAGATCAGTTAAACTTACATTTGAGAATACACACTGGAGAAAAACCTTATAAGTGTGAAATTTGTTTCAAGCTATTTACTTCTAAAAGTAATTTAATTATACATTTCAGAATGCACACTGGAGAAAAACCTCATAAGTGTAAAATTTGTTTAAAGCAGTTTACTACAACAACTCACTTAAGAAGTCATTCGATAATACACAGTTTAGAAAAAGAGTGCGACCCTTGTTTTACCAAGTTTACTACACCAACTCATTTGAAAAGCCATATAAGATTGCACACTGGAGAAAAACCTTACAACTGCGAAATTTGTTTTAAGCAGTTTACTCAAAGAAACGATTTGAAAGAGCATGCGAGTGTACATACTGAAGAAAAGCCTTACAACTGCGAAATTTGTTTTAAGCAGTTTATTCGACGAAACGATTTGAACGTGCATGCGAATGTGCACACTGGTGAAAAGCCCTACAAATGCGAAATTTGTTCTAAGCATTTTACTCGAAGACACGATTTGAAAGTGCATGGGAGTGTGCATACTGGAGAAAAGCCATACAAGTGCGAAATTTGTTTTAAGCAATTTAGTCGTAAATACAATTTGAAAGTGCATGCGACTATGCACACTGGATAATAGCGTTACAAGTGCAACATGTGTTTTAAGCAGTTCACAGATAAAAGTACTTTTCGTAAGTTTCGTAGTCACCAGTGCCTATAATTTCTACAATTTTTCAAGACGTTGTTATTTGTTTGACAACTGTTAAAAGTACTTTAAAAACACAGTTTAGAACGCACACTTGATAAAAACTTAAGATGTGTGAAATTTGTTTTAAACAGTTTTTTCATGTGCCCGTCTGATCGAAATCAGATCCAGATCTCCATGGTGATTGTTGAAGTTGAAGCTTATTGTGTTTGCAGCCGATCGGTGTTTCCTACATCCAGTGTAGAATTTGTGGACTATGTACGTTTCTACAGTTCTTTTGTTTGCAAAATATATCAGGGTCTCCTCTTAGTTGTCCGTATTGTTTTTGTCCTTTGAAGTCCAGTGCCTCACAATCATATAATAAATATTTGTCTGCATGCCCACTTAAAATTCCTGTTACTGTTCTCAGGTGATTCCAATTCCTCTGTTCTTGTTGTACATGATCGAACAATGAAGATTTTCCCATGTGTTTATTTTGGGATTCTCTCCTAATATCGCTCATGACTTTCTCGAATCCAGTCCTCTGCAACCCTACGTATTGCAGCATTTAGTGCTTACAGCCACGGCCACAGTTGGTCAGTTTCGTTCGTTTGATCCTCTTTTAGCACGTTGATGTTTTTTCTTTGTCTTTGATGCCGTGGTACTTAGACAGTCTCTCCATTTTTCCGGTCTTCCAGTTAATTCAGTTCTCTGAGTGATACAGTCCCACGATAGTCTGGACATCAATTCCTGATAAACCAGTGCTAGAAAACGATATAATTCCTTTCTAAGACAAAGCATTTACTAATTCTTGGATTTTTGGAGTATATTACCGTCCTCACATCCTTTCTAATCTTGGATCCGTCTATACTATAACATCTGGATACTTTACTTCTTCCCTTATCTGAATTTTCTATCGCTACAGCTTTCATCATCATCAATCAGCCAATCGCGTCCACTGCTGGACATAGGCCTCCCTCAGTTCTTTCCAGTGTTCTCTAAACTGGGCCGCTTGTAGCCAGTTTCCCGCTACACGTTTTATGTTATCGGTCCATCTAGTCGGTGGTCGTCCTTGGCTTCTTTTATAATTTCTGGGCCTCCATTCCTTAATACGTCTTGTCCACCGTCCATCTTGTGTTCTGGCTAAGTGCCCTGCCCAGTTCCACTTAAGCTTCGTGGTTCTTTCGATGACGTCTTGAACTCCTGATCTTTGCCTGATTTGTTGGTTTGTTATGTGGTCCCGAAGGCTCACGTTCAGCATTGCACGTTCCATGGCTCGTTGTGTTGAGTTTATTCGCAGATTTTTACGTGAGTGTTAAAGTCTCTGCTCCATAAGTTTGTACAGGCAAAACAAATTGGTTATAAACCTTTCGCTTGAGACACATGGGAATTGAACTTTTTAGAATATGGCTTAATTTGCAAAATGCTGCCCATGTTAGGCCTATTCGCCTCTGTATTTCATGTGTTTGATTGTCTCTGCTTATTTTGATTTCGTGTCCCAGATATTTGTGTTTGCTTGTTGTATGGTATTATTGTCAATAGTTATATCTCCACCTGCTTTTATTGCCTCGATAACGAGTCCATCATCACCAGGCGATCGATGGTTCTTCATTTTCTTTAAAGCTGCTCTTACTTCTGACACAGTAATGGGTAAAAGTATTTCCGATCCCTGATTTATGAGAGTCTTTACTCGTGTCGGGAAATTGTCTTGTGGTCTTTGGCTGGTATAGAGGTCTTTATAAAACTCTCTGGTTATTTTCAGAATGTTTTGTTTATCTGTTGTTGCCTTTTCGTCTTTATCTCTCAGCTTGTATATTTATTTTTTACATTGTGTGGGTTTTCTTTTCATAATCTTTAAACCTTTGTTCTCTTCTACTGTTTGAGTAATCACATTATTATTATATCTTCTTACATCTTTTCTAATTTCCGCTGAAATTCTTTTATTTAGTTTTTTATATTCTTCTTTGTTTCCCTTTTCGTTCTCGCTTAGGTTTCGTCGTATTTCCATGAGAGTGTTTGTATCTTTGCTAATCTTTGCACTTGTGGTGTCATTTTTCTTGCAAAATTTGAGTTGTGCGTTTCTAACCGAGTCTGTTATTAATATATTGTGATCGTCGATACTTAGAGGTTTAGGATTATTACTCTGTAAGGTTTCGGCTATATTTTTTATGTATACTTCTGGATGATTTGGTGATTTTTTATTTGGTGTGAAATACAGCTTTAGGTGACCTTATCTCTCCAAATCAAAAGCAGTAGTGACAGAACTCCCTTCTGTGGGCAACCTCTGTCGACCCAGGTCAACTTGGTCTTTTCAAGGGGCTTTTTATTTAAGACTTTGTATTGGTATACTGACCCGTATCATATAGAAGTGATATCATTCGAGTGAGTCATTGAGGGGTGAGTGGTTGTGCTTTATCCTTTGAGGTCTAGCACACGCATGAGTGCTTTCAATTTCCTCACAGTTCTTCCTTCATGTGGCTCACTTGGCTCTTCTTATAACTGTGTAGTAACCGTCCGTGTGGTTCTGTATTCTTCGTACTCTCTGGTTACTTTGGCTTTGTTGAATAGCTTTCTCGTCATTTTTCTCAACACAGACAGTTCTTTATTCCAGTATGGCGTATCCTTGCTAAAACTTCCCTCAGTGATAGAGCACAAATGCCGCAATGTCAGCGTTATTTTACTGCCATTTCTAAGTAATTTATCGTTCTCACTCTCGATAGATGCTGATCTAGAAATTTTTATAAACCTCTCAGTTGCTTGAACGTGGGTTCCGAAAGTAACTTTTGCTGCTTTCCCCTTTAAGGTGCATCTTACATGTCATGTTTTGAGCAGCTTTTCTCCTGAGACACACGCCATTCTAACATGAAATTACTCAAGAAATTTCAGGCTATTGTAATGTCTATTACTTTTAGTTATGAAAGTCGCTTTTATGCCTACATTTAATATGTCTCAATTATTTGTTACGATAAATTGCATTAATGATTTAACTCTATTGTTAATGTCCATGATTCTCCACGGTTTGTGCAGTGCATGGCGTCGTAGCCCATGGGCAACTGTATCCTCTATTCCTGCATTGACTTACCGGCTCTTCCACTTCATTGGTCGTTTTGGAGAAATTTGTGGTCCTGGACATCGGAATATTGGTTCTGTGTCTAGGAACGAACCTATCGGCTCTTAACAACGGAAAACCATCCTTTGTTAGAGGGGAAAGACGGACTCATATAGAAGTCACGCTAGCTACGGCGACCATGAGGAGGAAAACGGCTGAATGTGATGTACTGGAAGGGGAAATATTTACCCATCGTATAGACACATCCCATTCAAGATAAGAGAGAAACGCCTGAAGCTGACTTCTCTACAGAGGAGCTGATTGAGGTGGGAAAGCACTAAAGGCCGGGAGAGCACACGAACTCGACAGAGTTTTACTAGAAATTGTAAAGATAATCATAGAGAAAAAAGTACCCTGGGTGGAAGAAATCATGAATGACCTCCTAAGAAAGCAAAAATTTGAAATACTTAAAGACGAGACTAGAAAAAGAAATCACATGGGTTTAGAAAAGGAAAATCTGCAGTAGACGCAGTTAGTCGGTTCACGAAATTAATTGCCACATGTACGAGCAAGTGGTTGGTGGCTTTCTTTCTGGGCATAAAAAATGCCTTCAACTGCGCGAGCTGGAGAGTAATAACTGAAATACTGTAGGAATTGGAAGTATCCCTATACCTACAGGTGAAGGAATACAACAGGTATTCCTTCACTGTCTCGGTCCTAGGACCATTGCTCTGTAGACAGATTGACGAATATTCCTCAAGTAGACAGATTAACATAGGGAGGATAGATATTATGCAGACATTCGAAGGAACACAACAGGTCTCGGTCCTAGGACCATTGCTCTGGAACATCATTTACAGTAATATATTGGAGAAGATTTAGGAGAAGGGACACATGCTGTATCTTGCGGATAACCTCGTTTTAATAGAGCACAATGAAAATGGGATTATTATTAATTCAGCCAATATTGCACTGAAAAGGTTGAAGACGTGGTTGAAAGACCGAGAGTTGACACTCGCTACGCAAAAAACGCAATCTCTGATTCTAAAATGACATAGAGAACCAGAGGTCACATCCCCTTTACCCTCGATGGATAATGAATAATGCCATTGACAAAGCAACAGCTTGGCAATAATTAGGCCAAATATAGGAGACCTAGGTACGGGAAAAATAAGGATTCTGATGGAACTGATACATTCCACAATTCTATATGCGGCACCAGTGTGGCATCAAGTAACTAACACACAAAAGTACAAACAAATTTTAGAGAAGGTCCTAAGAAAAACCGTATTAAGGGTCTTATGCGCCTATCTCTACAATAGACCTACAAGTTAATGGCAGGAAGAGTGGGTAAACGCGAGAAGGGTTGCACGGACAAGAACTCTGATCCTGGTTGTGGTGGATTGGGTGGAATGCAAATATAAAAGCATGAACTACTTCTTCGCGCAATTTTTTACGGAATAAACCGGTTATTTAGAGCATACCTTGAGAGGATAGGCAAGGCAATAGATGCTATCTGTGTGGCTTATTCCGCTGTCCACTCCTTCATTCCGCTTATGGGCTGCGGAATAGGCCATACAGAAGAACACTGTCTGTTCGAATGCAGTAAGTTCAATGACTAAAGAGCAGAGCTATGTGCAAGCTATAGTATTTTAGGAGCTCACAATTTTATGACCGTATAAAGAAGGGTAAAATGAGTTTAAAGAAGTGCTGGAGGCGACAAAAAGCATAGGAAGAAGAGATTTTAGATAGAGAAAGATAATAAGGCTAAACATAAGCAACAGAGAGAAAAAGAAAAGGAGAAGAAAAAGGGTGGCTGCGTGCGCGAGAGAAAGGTCTGGAAACACGCGCCTAAGCCGAGAGTGGTTTTAGTTGGTAGGCGTTGTACCATGGATACATCGGAGGACAAGACCCCAAAAAAGGGGAATTGCATTTGGATGTACTGCGACTATTCTGAATCTAACTTACACAAAAACACTTTGACGCTGCATACCTATAATTTGATACAACGTACAATAATGCACACTGGACTAAAAGCTTAAATTATTTTTGTCCACGTTTTATTTCTGAGTTCCATTGTTACTTCGTTCATCTGACCTCACTTTACATCACTCCTTAATTTTATTGATTGTTTAAGCGTATCTCACTTCTTTTTCTCTCTGAAAAAAATTCCATTTTAACTGTGATGGACTGCTGGAGAAAAAGATTAACTTCCAATCAACTTGTCGAAAAGCTGCTTTTTATCACTGGCACAATATTAATTGAAATTATTTCAATTTTTTTACTTCGTACTTGTTTCCTTAGCTTTTTTTGGAGACACGGCAACATCGCAATATGCCTGCACAGAATCCTCTTAATGACCTTGTTTGGATTTAGTTGTGTATATATTTAGTTCTTTCTTTACAACACTGAGATTCTATAATAATATAACTTTCTAAATTCTAGATATTTAGACCTTACGCACTTCCACACTGCCAATATTTTCAACGAATAGAGGAAATAATTAAAAAAAAAACAATTTGGTGGCTTCAGTTCACTAGATAATGTTACTACTAATTTTCTACAATATCTACGGAAAAATAAAAATCTTCAGTCGTCCAACTATACTTAGTGATGGGCTTTTTCTCTTTATTTTCTATCGTTGGTAGGTACTTACTCTCTTATTTGATTTATCGTAAGGGATATTGCTTTTTTTATTATTATTGCTACTTTTTTGATTGTTTGTGGTAGATGTACTTCACAACTCTTAATCTCAGAAGCAATCAGTATCTGACAGATGTTCAAAAACGACTTTTACATCAGATCGGAAGCTACTTTTGTATAATATCCTCCTCCTAAGTGCCTTCTCTATTGAGGTTGGCGATCAATATGGCAAATTTCTCTCTGTTCTGGGCTTGATGGATTAAGTCATTTCCTGTTGTGTCAGTCCAATCTCTGATGTTTCGGAGTATCTTGTATAATATAATATAATATAATATAATATAATATAATATAATATAATAGATGTAATGTAATTATATATTAATAAATAAATGTATAAATTATTCTAAATTTATTTATTTCAAAATAAATAATAGTTTTTGGAATTTTAATTATACAGGAAATAATATCCATAAGAATAATACAAATTAGGATATATAAGAACCGAATATTATAAGCCGAATGACATCAAGTAGAGTAGTAAAGACGGCAGGAGACGGTTTCCCAACAGGAAGACCACGAAAACGCTAGAACGACAACTTAAGGCTGTTTTAGCAGTTCAAGCACACTGCGATTTGAAATAAGCGTATCACTTACATTTCTACACTGCTTACGCGAGACTATCTTTACTCAGTGGAGTCGGCCAACGGGCAAAAAATGCATTACTCCTCATTCAAATTAGTTTTAACACGAACTAACTGACCGTACGTTCATGAAATTTGACGTCACGAATGCGATAACGGTGAACCTAAGCGACAATGATGACTTACACGTTTCACTATTAGATTTTAGTATTTTTGAGCAATTTTCTTCAAAGGTTGAACACGCTTTTCTCGATTATTACTGGACACAGAAAGGTGAAAAAAAAAAAATCAACGATTACAGAAAAAAACTCTTTCAAGTGATCGGCGTAAAAAGTTTGGTTATAATAGAATCCAATTTTTCAACAGAAGTTTCAAAAAAATAAAAAAAGTAAAACCATAATTTTAAAAGCAACATAGTTTCGAATATTGTTTGTCGGTAAATAACAGTTCCTAGGTTTTGGTGCACCGATAAAACAGCCTTAAGCTATAGCTATGGTTTGTTAGAACAGTGAGCGACGCATAAAGCTGGATTTATAGTTTGACGTACTGTAGACGTAGACGCACTGGAGACGTAAGAAACGGACGTAAATATTTTTTCAATTTATAAATGGACGTAGTGGAATTTTTGCGCATGAGTAAAGACAAGAATTGGTGACCCACAACATTCAATATAACCTATAAATTATACAATTATAGGAATCAGAATTCATAATAAACAAATGGTGTGTGTTTATACTATTGTTTATTATAATATTTTTTTTATCCTTTTTGCGTGTTAGAATGTATTGTGAAATATACGAAGGTATGCTCCTTGGCGCTGTAGGATTGCTGCTGTGCTGTGTGCAGTAGCATCGCAAAAAACTAGAAGGACAATAATAAGGCGACCAAGACGTTATAAAACAAGACCAATAAACCGTAATAGAAAAATAGAGAATGCTTATAATTATTTTTTAAAGATGAAGACAGAAGATCCAGATCAATTTTTGGCATATTTCAATATTGGTGCAATGAACATAAACCATTCTTTCTTTTGATTGGTCAGACGTAAGAAACGCACTGTAAAAGTTGAAAGTTGACCAACTCTTCCGTTACAGTGCGTTTCGCTTACGTCCCGTCTTGCGTTTACGTTCATTTATAAATAGGAGTACACAAAAGTCTATGTTGATCTTTTTCCAGTGCGGCTGCGTCTACAGTCCGTCAAACTATAAATCCAGCTTAACTCACAGTCAGTCGAACGCCGCGCACGTTCGTCAAAATCAAAGAAATGGCTCTATGATAACGGTTTGTTAGGTTCTTTCTGCTGAGCTGACCGCACCGCAGAGCGATAGCCGTGTATGTCGACGGTGTGCGCTGGAATCAACTGCGGTTTGATTTGGACGCAAACGTTCAGCTGAACTAACAGCGTACGCATCCATTATACCTAAATTATAATTGTATTTTTATGTAGTTATTATTAATAATAATAATAGTTATTTTATACAGTTATTATTAATTTAGTTAATTAAGTGATTTTCTCCCGAGGAAGATGAAAGATTAGTGGATTTAGTAAGGAAGCATCCTCTAATATATCAGGTGAAAAGTAAAAGTTTCAGAGATAAAATTATTAAGAATGTGATTAAAAATAGCGGAAGAAATGAACAAAAACGGTAAGTACTTAGCTACACTTCATCTAATTTGCATACCGATGCACGTCATCGGCGTCATAGCCCGTGACGTCACATTATACCAACACGAAATATTTAGGCGATAGGTGTATTCTTTTTTAGAATCACTTTACCGAGTACACTGGCATTACAGCCACTAGACATATTTTATTATATACGCGTAAAAATAATATTTAAAAATTTCTATTAATGTTAACTTAAAAAAATACACAATAATATGTTTAATTTAATTTATATAAATGCATTATAAAGCGTTTTTATGAACAACATTTGTTCGGAACACACTGTATAGTATTTATAAAGTCAGTTGAAACATCCAAAAACCTGCTTGCAGGCGAGCAATAAAAGAATAATATCATATTACCAGACATGGGCGCTTCATTTATTATTATAATCAAATATATATTAATGTAGAACAGAAAAAGGACAATTTTAATTTACTTAAAGCTGCTGTAAAGTACATAAGTGTATAAAAAACTTTTAAACATATCATATTAAGCAACAAAAATAATTTATAATTAAATGGCAATAGGCTATATTGACAGTATAATGATTTAATTATACTTCGTAAAATAATAAACATTTTTGCTGTACAGCACTGGCATGCATCGGCAGCGTTTCTTATCTGTACCCTTCGCCACCGGCTAGAAGGGGACCTCCAAGTAGCGTGTTAAATATTGGTGATTTTGAATAACATATCAATGTCCAATATTTATTTGATGGGATGTATCTTTCTTCCATCTATTTCCTACGAAGTACGGGGATTGTTCAAATACGTTTGAAAGATTGACGCGTGTTATTTATACTTTAACTTGATTACCGGTAAATGTAATATTGAACTGCCCTTATAATTCGAGTCGGAGAGAAATGTTTCAACTGACTTTATAAATACTATAACTGTAATTGAACGAAGGTGAAATTTTGGAATAAATTAGTAACACTTATTTGACAGTTGCGGTGTTGACACTTTTTGTACTTTATTATTTTGAATTTTAAACTGAATACTTCTTGTTTTATATTTTTACCTATTTAATAAAATATGTTCTTTTTAGAACAAAATTAGTGTGTTTTATTTAAAAAATGCCACGTAAGAATTTAAATAGTCGTTGTAAAGAGATGGTAATACTTTTGAAATAATTATGTGATCTATTTAATTTAAAATGGAGTCAGGATTTTTTTATACTTTGGCAACTATGTCAATTTCGATCTCTGACGTAGATAATGACGTGCATCGGTATGTAAATTAGATGAAGTATATGTTATTTGAAGTTTGTTTAAAGGTGGTAGACAATATGGAAACACACTAATAAGTTTACATGATTTGATATATTTTTTTAAATTTATCAACGTTAATGAACTTTACGTCACTTTTATTAAATTAATATTATTTATTAAACTGAAGCATACATTATAATAAAATAACGGCACAAAATAAAGTTTATCGTTATTATTTAACACGTGACACAGTTTTGTCTTGCCATTCTACAGATCCCTGAACCACAAAATAATAAACAATCAGAATGCCCACTCTCACATGCCGCCTTTGAAGTTTTTCAGCACGCGCGCCATGTTTTAGAAGGAAACACATAACTGACACAGACATTTGATTTGTGAGGTTATGTAATTGTTTATATTCAATGACGTATAATATATTAGACTAAGCAGTGCACACGGTTCGTAGACTTACTACGGTTGCCTCTTCCGACTGGGGTGGGGATGCTTGGTTACGTCACAGGAGTACACAAGAATACAAAACCCATTTATTCGCGATTGAAACTGAATGTAGAGGGCAGGTCGATTGCAGTGTCATGGCCGATATAAATGGTATAAACAAAAACAAACATAACATTCGAATATTTACCATTGCTTTTCCATGTTTAGTTTGGTTTAAGACGAGTTATTTGTATCATTTAATAATGGAAATTAACCTTAATGATATCTTTGAGTATTGTGGTGAAGCAAAGAGTCCATTGGTTGAAGGGGAAGCAGTTTTCAAGTAATGAATTCCTAAATTTTAACTTTAATGTTTCGAACTGGCTTGTGTATTGATGATGATGAATCCTATTTTGTGTATACCTGGGAACCCAGAATATAATATTCTGTGTAATGTTTGCCTTAACGTATATATAACATATTTGCCTTATATGCATTATTATACCTTATGTTTTTAAGATGTTAATTTTTATTTTATACTATTTTTTGACATATGTAAGTAGTTTATTGTATATTAACATAAATAAATAACTTTAACTTGGCTTTATTGTAAAATAGTTCATTTGATTACATGAAATCAATTTACTTTATTTATAAAACATTTTTGTTTTGATACATCCATCCAATCACAGGGCTGAATGTTAAGATTCAAATTACGTCACAGGAGTACAATCCGGCTTAATGTTCATTGGTTAGGCGGAAGAGGCAACCGTAGTAAGTCTAGGAACCGTGAGCAGTGCACTAATCTTTTTTATCTAAAAAAACGGGGGATTACCATGAAGATATGGACGCCCAACGTTTTGAAAAAAGGTTTCAATCCCTTCTTTCACGAGTCGAGCCTAATTCCATAATAGTGATGGATAACGCTTCTTATCATAGTCGATTAATAAAACATCTGCCAACTATGGCCACCAGAAAAGCAAATATGCAGAGTTAGTTAAGACAAAAAGGAATTCGATTTTCCGAGGACATGGTTAAGACTGAGCTTATAAATGTAATTAGACAGCATCGTGACAGATATCGCCAGCATGTTGTAGATACAATGGCACGTGCTAAAGGCATTACTATTTTGAGACTTCCCCTTACCATTGCGAGTTGAACCCGACATAATTAATCTGGACTCAAATAAAGGGTTACATAGATCGTGAAAACGTGACATATAAAATTTCTAATGTCCAACGTTTGTTGGAATTCGCAATGGAACGGATACGAAAAGAAGATTAGGCTAATGCCGTAGCTCATGTAATCAAGGAAGAAGATCATCATCCTTAAAAGTGTTATTTAAAGTTTTTGCAAAGTTGTGCCCAAAAAATTTTGCAATCTCAGTGTTTAACTTATTGCCTAATTTTAATGGTGGAATTTTATGGTAATACGATATTCACAGA